CAGGAATTTTTCCGTATTTTGTCTGTCCAACGGACAGTCTACACAGTCGACGTCGTGCACAAGGTGCGGGTGACCTAATTAGGCAACAGCGCCTGGCACCGTCGGCGACGATGGGTAGTGTGTTATAAATATATAGTATGTCTACACTATAGTACTCTACAGCTAAGGGAACCCCTGCCTCGGTACCACCGCCGGTGTCAGCAGAGAGCCTAGCTAGGCCCCAGGGACAGTTGCAACGGTAAGCCTAATTAGGCTCATAGTCTGGGACGTCTAGGTGGTTCTATTCTCAAGAGTGAGACCCGCCCATTCTCAAGAGAGCAGAACCTCGACTGTAGGGCAGTCCGGGGTCTCATAACTACTCCTAGAAACCAAGGGATTGGATAAATTTGCTGAATATCTCTTTTTCAGTCAAAACATTGCCGGTTACCACTGCTTTTCGACGCTGCGTCTAGATATAGACTCTACATGTCGTTGTCTATTCGTTTTGTCCTGAGAGACGGGAAATGAGCAACTGACCCCGAAATCATAGGAGCCTGTGGGCAGTGTTACGAGAAGTCACGCAGCCAGGCAGTCCCCGACCACTACCGTCTCGCCTACCGTACTTGTACCTGCTCCTCGGAGAGTGAGAAACAACAAGTCCTGAACGTTCAAGCATGGCCTCAAGTCGCGTATTCACCGGCCAGAACGTTCTTCTGCCTGGCCATGATGCACCGGTGCCTGCAACTATCGAGATTGACAAGTCCACAGGAAAGATTACGGAGGTGAAACCAGGCACTGCAGGAAGAGCATCCTACAGCCCTCTCGGCGACGGCGACTTCATTGACGCAGGCAGCAAGTTAATCATCCCAGGTCTCGTCGAGTGAGTAAGCTAATTGATAGCCCATCAAGGAGACTGATGCTGATAGCACCGCTCGCAGCGCGCACGTCCACCTGAACGAGCCAGGTCGGACAGACTGGGAGGGCTTCTACACCGGAACGCGTGCTGCGGCTTCCGGAGGTGTCACCACGCTCGTGGACATGCCTCTCAACTCTATCCCGCCCACTACGACCGTTGCGAACCTCGAGGTCAAGCGTAATGCTGCGAAAGGCCAGTGCTGGACTGACGTCGCCTTCTGGGGCGGAGTGATACCCGGGAATGAGGTATCTCTTGCCGTTTTCCAGGACCTCCTTAGACCCGGCACTCAACGCAGCAGCACTGGTGTTTCAGGACGATCTGACGCCGCTGGTGGAAGCTGGCGTCAAAGGGTTCAAGTGTTTCTTGATAGAGAGTGGTGTCGAGGCAAGCCTAGTATCTATGTTATAGTCTGCATCATTAACACGTCTGTCAGGAATTCCCCTGTGTCGCTGAAGGCGATGTCGTCAAAGCAATGAATAAGCTGCAGGTCAGTCGAAGTCGTTTCTTCGCGCTGCGCGGCAGTAACCGTCTTGTGCAATGTGCAGGGCCTCCCGACTGTGCTCCAATTCCACGCCGAACTAGGCGATCCTCCTTCCGCTCCGTCCTCCTGCAACCCCCGCGCCTACACCACCTACCTCTCCACCCGCCCGCCCGCGCTCGAACTCTCCGCCATCGAACTCATCACCTCCCTCCAATCCCTTCACCCCTCGCCTCGGTGCCACATCGTCCACCTATCCGCCGCCTCCGCCCTCCCGCTCGTCCGCGCGGCCAAAGCGAAAGGCCTGAACCTCACCGTCGAGACGTGCTTCCACTACCTCTGCCTCGCCGCCGAGAGCGTGGGCGAGGGGCACGTCGAGTTCAAGTGCTGCCCTCCCATCCGCGAGGAAGCGAATCGCGAGGCGCTGTGGGCGGCGCTGAAGGACGGGACGATTGATATGGTCGTGTCGGATCATAGTCCGTGTGTCGCGGAGCTGAAGAAGCCGCAGGAAGGGGATTTGCTGGGTGCGTGGGGAGGCGTGAGCACGCTCGGTCTTGGGTTGAGTGCGCTCTGGACGGAGGGGAGGAAGCGGGGCGTCAGTGCCGCGCAGGTCGTGCGGTGGATGAGCAAGCGGACTGCGGCTCATGCTGGTTTGGCGGATAGGAAGGGCGCGATTAGAGTGGGTCACGATGCGGATTTGGTGATCTGGGATCCGGAGGCGGAGTTTACGGTACGTATCTCAAGATTTTGGGAGGTGGACGTGGTGCTGACTGGTGGTGTAGGTGACGAAGGAAAGTCTGAACTTTAAGAATAAGATGTCGCCGTATGAGGGGATGAAGATGACGGGTAGGGTTGAGCGGACGTACTTGCGAGGGCAGCTTGTCTATGACTACAGGGCCAAGTTCGAGGGCGTCGAGCCGGCGGGTGTCTTGTTATGATATGTATTCTGCTACTGAATACTGACATTTCAGGTCGGGCGGTGTTAAAACTCGACCGGAGCAACTTCAGTGTCGCTTTTGACCATAAGAACTCGACGAGCACACCAAGCGCAGGGTGCTGAGTTCTACAATTCCTGACGTCCTGGTCCTAGACTAGACATAGTCTTTTTAGTAAAGATATTACTTACTCCAAGACCCTGGTCAACTCAGATAGTAATATACCGGCAAGCCAACCTCGCATCACACCGTCGAGGTTGCATGGATCCCTGGATGAATCCCTAGATGGATCCCTACATTGAAGTGGCGTGGGAGGTGA